TTGTCCTAGAATGCCAAAGGGGGAGTTTGTTAGGTTTTAGATTATTTGTAATTGGCGATTCTGAGAACAAAAGGATTGAAATTGACATATTGTAAAAATCCAAGGAGTAATATGCAAATACGTTGAAAATAGGGTTTTTAGGTTTAGGGTTCGAGAATGGTAAAAGGAGAAAAATGGAGCGAATTTTCGCTAAACTGTCGCCAAGATTTGGCTTGAGCTATAAAAGCAGAAACCTCGTCGCTGGCCTGTCGCCCCTACTTTGCTCGAGCAACAGTCTGTCGCTCGACTATCCCTGAGCCCTCGCTCTCGAGCAACGCTTTATTCGAAAAAAATTTATTTCACGTTTTAAAGGTTTTTCCATGGCCCATCTGTTTTATACCCTATCTATAAATACCAAAACCCCTAAGTTGAACATAGAGAGAAAAATTCTATAGAGTGTTTCCTTCATATTTGATTCTTTCAACCTTCATCTATGAGAGTATTGGTGAGAAAAACATCAGTTCAACAATCCAAATTTCAAACTGCTTTTCCTCTACATCTGATCAAAGTTCTGAAGATAGGGGAAGTTTGACTGGAGTTCCAGTCTGTGAAGAACGTGGTGTTATTCATGGATCTACATGAGAGAAACAATTTCACTAAATTAGGAGTTTCTACAGGAGATCAGAATCCATAAGAGCCTTGGAAACTACAGCTAGGAGTGGTGCATGAGCACAGAATTCAAGAAAGCTATTGGAATTACAGTCAGGAGATCAGATAGTACGTGTTGCGTCTAGGCTGGTAGATTGTAAGTTTCATATCGTTTATAGTGGATTGTTGATTGGCAAAGTGTCCGAAGTTTTTTCCAGTTGGGTTTCTCCGTGATCATTTCGGTGTTTGATTTATTATTTTACTATTCATTGTTTATTATACAACTGCGGTAATTCAACTTAGGACAAATTGACTTGAATGTTAAATCATTTAAAAAATAATTAAAAAGTAACTTGTTGCTATTTAATTCGTAAAAATATTTTTAATTCTGCATTACATACCTATTCACCCCCTTTAGGTATTATTATGGTCGAACTGCATAACTTTCAATCATCTTTACTTCTTGTGATTTTCATGACTTTCTTTATATGAGGCATTTTCAGTTTGTTAACGCATTCAGATACCATGTGTCCATATCCCTCACTCTCACGACATTGAATGCGATTTTGAGTCATTTCCATAGATGTAGATGTAGGTAGATTTTGCCTTGAATTGTCGAGGAATTTCTTCTTTTGGTTGAAATTTCGTATTCTTTCCCTTTTGATTGTTTATAAAGAATTTCTTGAACTATTTGATAAGCATGGTCACATGCTCATCAGTTTCACTTTCCTCGTCATCAATTCCTTCATCATTTTTAAGCTTTGAAAGCAACTCCATACCCTTTTCTTTCTTTCTTCCATGAAGATGCAACATACATGTCATCAATGATCATGTTTCCTTCATATTTGATTCTTTCAACCTTCATCTATGAGAGTATTGGTGAGAAAAACATCAGTTCAACAATCCAAATTTCAAACTGCTTTTCCTCTACATCTGATCAAAGTTCTGAAGATCGAGGAAGTTTGACTGAAATTCCAGTCTGTGAAGAACGTGGTGTTATTCATGGATCTACATGAGAGAAACAATTTCACTAAGTTAGGAGTTGCTACAGGAGATCAGAATCCATGAGAGCCTTGGAAACTGCAGCTAGGAGTGGTGCATGAGCACAGAATCAAAGAAAGCTATTGGAATTACAGTCAGGAGATCAGATAGTACGTGTTGCGTCTAGGCTGGTAGATTATAAGTTTCATATCGTTTAGAGTGGATTGTTGATTGGCAAAGTGTCCGAAGTTTTTTCCAGTTGAGTTTCTCCGTGATCATTTCGGTGTTTGATTTACTATTTTACTATTCATTGTTTATTATACAACTGCGGTAATTCAACTTAGGACAAATTGACTTGAATGTTGAATCATTTAGAAAATAATTAAAAAGTAACTTGTTGCTATTTAATTCGTAAAAATATCTTTAATTCCGCATTACATACCTATTCACCCCCTTTAGGTATTGTTATGGTCGAACTGCATAACTTTCAATCATCTTTACTTCTTGTGATTTTCATGACTTTCTTTATATGAGGCATTTTCAGTTTGTTAACACATTCAGATACCATGTGTCCATATCCCTCACTCTCACGACATTGAATGCGATTTTGAGTCATTTCCATAGATGTAGATGTAGGTAGATTTTGCCTTGAAATGTCGAGGAATTTCTTCTTTTAGTTGAAATTTCGTATTCTTTCCCTTTTGATTGTTTATAAAGAATTTCTTGAATTATTTGATAAGCATGGTCACATGCTCATCAGTTTCACTTTCCTCGTCATCAATTCCTTCATCATTTTTAAGCTTTGAAAGCAACTCCATACCCTTTTCTTTCTTTCTTCCATGAAGCTGCAACATACATGTCATCAATGATCCCACCAATTTTTCAACCTTTATGGTTTCAATATCCTCAACTTTCTTTTATGACAGTTACTTCGAAGTGGAATCGATCAGGTAGAGATCTAATGATCTTTTTCACTATCTTACTTTTTGAGTACTTCTTCTCCAACGTATATGCTGACTTGGTGTTGTCACTAAGTTTGGCATAGAAATCCTTGAACTGTTCATCTTATTTCATTGTTAGTTGTTTGAATTCTAAAGTGGGCATTTGGAGCTTAGATGACTTCCAGTAGAGATTAAACGAACTTGGTTAAAATTCACAAAAGAGAAAATATCATTTAAAACTTTTGAATTCCAACTAACATTATTAAAATATGTAGTAACCCACTCTTCTTCTGCCTTTTTTCTCTCTTTCTCATTTTCAGTTACAATTGGTACAATGACAAAGTGTTAAGCATTTTCATCAAGGGATTAAACATAAACATGCATCTTAATTTTTCAATAGAAGTAATTAGTCCAGTCTAAGGGCGTGTTCGGTAGAGATTAAAATTAAATTAAAATTGAAATACTAGCCATTATTGTTGACTTTTATTAGACGAGTGTGACCCAATAACGACCATATTTTCAATTTTAATTGGATTTTGAGCCGTACCAAACAGGCCCTAAGACATAAAGTCTAGAGATGCTTCGTCCATATATAGGTTTTTCATGTATCACACTTTTCAAAAGTGTACCACTCCGATACCAAGTGTAAATTATAAAATCTAGGTAAATTAAAAATTGATTTTAGTTTAAATTTTATCACTTTGGACAATAAGCCGTCATAATTTCTTATACTGAGTTTCTAATAGTTCCAACTGACTGGTACGTGCAGGTTGTTGCTATGTTCATGATTAAAGTTTAAATGAACTACAAAATTTAATAAGTTTCTTAGCATACGAACACCAAATGTTACGTGGTAAATCCAGAAGGAAAACAATCACGGCCCCATGTCATGAGTCAAACAATCAATTAATAAATTGATAAAAAAAAAATACAATATTATTCGATTTTTATAATTTTGCAAAAATGACAAAAGAACAATCAAAAGAAATAAAAACAACTTCCTTTGTATCTTCTTCTTTTAACTTGGTAAAGTAGAATCAAAGGCATCGATCTTAACTTTATCACCACTTTCCAATTTTACTCGACCGCAACCATCACTTGGATTAAGAATAATCATTCTTAACTTCATATCAAATAGCTTTATAAATAAACAGGATTGCACATTAAACACCAATTTGTTTTGTGTTCTTCAAGGACTTAAAGAAACTATTAACTTTGAAAATATTCAATGAAGCATCACATTGTGTGATTTGTTCGAAAATGGTAGCACTGTTGCATGCGAATGAAATTAATTTTTTAAACCTTAATTTCTTTCTTGATTAATTACCTTATAGGTAAAGCAATTACCAAATATAGAAATTAAATCTTACCTAATAATAATCATTTAACACAGTAAAAAAAAAATAGTGTATAGGGGAATATACAAAAAGACTTTCTAGATTTATTAATAGACTAAGGGCTTGTTTGGTACGATTCAAAATCCAATTAAAATTGAAAATATAACCGTTATTGAGTTCCACTCATCTAATAAAAGTCAACAATAATGGCTAATTTTTCAATTTTAATCCGATTTTAATCTCTATCAAACACTCTCTAAATATAGAAATACTATATTAATTTAATCTAATCTTATATTCACCTATTAAATAAATCTGAAAATATCTAGGATGATTAATCTATTCTACACGAGTTGTAATTGTTATAACAAGAAAGCTATCGTGTTATATATAGAAAACTATAACAATCGTAAGCTTAAAGATTCTAATCGAACCACTTACCATCCAATTGCTAAATGCAATTGCAGAAGTGCTCATAAATCTTGACAATATAGTAGTGATATTCTATAAGGTCATAAGGGTTTGTTGTAGGAAATGCACACGAGTTCTAATTCTCGGCCTTTTTTCTTTTATTCAGTCCCTAAGGCTTCTTGTAGAGGAAAGTGGTGTCATGTATTAAGAAGTTGTAGAAAATAACATGCTTTGGCGAATTGCATAGGTGCCATTGCTTCGAGCATGGGAAGAACCTCTATTGATGACGAATCCAAAAAAGAAAAGCAACAAGAGTATAATAATGCTTGTCAAGAGAAGTTTTTGAGTGCCTAGACAACTTCCAAGTCTAAGCACGAAGAGGAAAAGGGTATGATAATAGTCAAAATGAGATAAGTCACTACTACAACAAAAACAGTCTTTTGCTGAAAAAAGTTGTCGAAAACCTTTTCCAACGTTTTTGAATATGTTGCAAACCTCGACGTTGTCGTATAATAGATGGATACAGTAACCTTTTTTGAGTGTCGTCATAACCTTTTTGCAACGTCTTTTGAACGTTGTGAATAACCTTTTGCAACGTCTTTTGAGTGTTGCCATAACCTTTGGCACAAAGCAAGGGTATTTTCTACTAAACAAATTTGGCACAAAACATCCCTTCTTTCTTTTATGCCAGTTTTAGTCCTTTTTACTCTTGGCTTTGCTTGTACTCACTCTCTTTCTCCAGCCTGTTGGCAGCATATACCAGTGTCAATTTTCCAATATGTTCGACCTTACGGAGATTACAGAAAAGCTGAAACTAAATAGGCCAGGAATGGATAAAAGATTACAAAGGAAAAGAACAACAAAGAGGATTCTGCATTAGTATGAACAAGAAAGGGAAAGTGTTGTGAGATGATATTTTAATTCATAAATACTTAGCCGGCTCTGGGATAAGGGCTTTGTTAAGTTCAGTTGAGTACACTATAATTGTGAAAGGAACCAAAAAAAGATCTCATACTCTCTGGGACGATCTCGGGGCTTACTGCTTTGCTGCTGCAGTCACCTTACCACTGGGATTTATCCCTCTTTTTTCTATTTCAACACCGAGATTTAGGATGGGGATTCCATCTCCTATCAATAGGTTAAACAAGTCACAAAATATGTGGATAAAATTAACAGCATCAACAATTAAGCAGCGCAGAATTTGACAAGTAAAAAGAAATATCAGTATATCTTTTCCATTACATAAAACTGAATTGATTAACCAATCTCTTAAAAAAATTGAGATGATAAATATGCAGGGGGCGGAAAGACAAGAAAGAAATATTATAAAGTGGTAATTAATTTTAGAATTTTTAACATAGATATACATTATAAGGACGTCTGAAAACCTGCACAATCCTAGTATCTAAATTTTAAATGAGTTTTAAAGAAATAAGAGAGCTACAACAAATTTAAAGCAACAATCTGATGTTAAATAGTTGAGTCATTTCTCGCACTTTGGAAGACATTGTCTTCATATGATTTAATTTATGTTTAACCAAAGGAATTACCCAGTGACCATATCTCGTATCACGCGTGGCACTAAAACTGGGGACTTTTTGTTATTTTCATACAGAAAATGGCGAATTCTTTCCATAGCATTAGCCTCCCACTATTACCACATCACAGTCAAGTTAATCAAAAACCCAAAATGCAAAGCCCAATTCCTCTTAAACTTACCAAAATAGCTCTCCGACGGCTCCTGATAATGAATCTCAAAATCCTCTCCCATTTCATCTACATAATTGGGATTTCCACCGCTACTAATTCTCATCTTCAGCTGCCTCAGCCTTTCAGAGGCCAGCCCAAGAGGCAATTTGTGGCACCGTCCCTGGTACTTGAATCCATTGATTCACCTCAGGGTTTAAGCCACCTCAGGAAACCAGGCCCAAAAAGAGGAAGAAGATTTGGAAGAGCTTCCATAGCTCCTTTTTTAGGAGGTCTACTGCTCGTTTTTTTCGAGGGTTTTCACGAAGTGGAGCTGGATTGTGGTGTTTAAGGCTTAGAGGGCTCTTTCTTTGGGGATTACATTGTGGTGCTGGTGGGAGGCGGTGGCGGTGACGCTGGTGGTTGTGGTGGTAGCCTTGTAATCCGCCATTGAAGTGTGAGGATATAGGAGTCCGGAATGGAGGTGTGCCGGCAGAAGAATGAATGGAGCGAGGTGCGTATTGGTTTAGGGTACGGGTTATTTTTGGTTTTTATATAATTTAAAGTGTGTTTGAGCCGCATTATTTTGGAACAATGTAATTTGGAATAGTAGATTAATGAAGAATGTGTGGTTGAAAAAGAATGAAATATTATTGATGTGATTGAAAATATTATTTTATTGAAAAATGTATAGTTGAAAATGAGTAGAATAATGAAAATGAAAAAAATAATGTAGTTCAAACAGGAGCTTAATTTGGGAAAAAGGTACAGAACTTTTCACAACGTGCAGACAATATTCTCTAAAGTGAACTTTTCGCAACGTTCAAAATAATTGCAAAAAGTGAATTTTTTCGCAACAATTAAAAAACGTTACAAAAAGTAATTTTTTTTGCAACGGTCAATAAACGTTGCAAAAGGTTTTACATTAAGAGTTTCAACAACGATCCTGAACATTGGTACAAAACCAGATTTCAACAACGTTGCAAAAACTTATACTTTTCGCAACATTTATAAAACGTTGCAAAATGCGCCTATCAACATTTATTTAAAAAATGTTGCGAAAGCTCATTTATGTTAGTCATTAGCAACATTCACATGCTAAAATGTTATGATAGACCCCTTTAACAATATTTAATCAACAAATGTTGCCTTTAGCGTGTTGCAAAAGATCATTTTTTTGTGTAGTGACAACCCATCTATCACTTATCCAGCTTTGTATTGGTTGGAAAACGATTGGAAGAGTTACGTTATTCAAGGAAAGTGTTAGTTCTACACGAGCTTCTTTAAGATTGTCTGGCAGATACACTTGAAGACGACGAAAAATGCACTAGGCAAAGAATATGATACAATACACCGTGTGGCATTATCCAAATATAGTGTTTAACTAAAACCCTAACATTCTTTTATATAGTGTTTTAATGCACGAATTTAATAAGAGTAACAATCAAATATAATGTGAATGAATATAGTACTTTTTAAAATTTTAAAATTAAAATAGGGGTAGATTTAGAGTGTGGTGTTGTATAAAAGTGTTATGGATAATGTTTAAATGAATAAAATTTGATAATGATTTTAAAATTTTAATAAAGATAGATTTAAAGTGGAATAGATACATATGAATGACGGATGAAAATAACTGCTCCCTTACTGTATTTGTTTTTAAAACACTACTATAATCTTTTTCTTTCAAAGACTCAATTAACTTATCTAGTCACAAGAGTTCAACACATCTTTAAGAAGTTTTTAAAATCTAAGCACATAAGAAATTTCGTCTCAAAAATAGAAAAGGCAGAGAAATAAAATTTGTTTAAAACAAGATAAATTCAAATTTATTTCAAAACTACGTATTTTAAATTTTTAATATTTCTTCAATCTTCCTTTGAATCAATTGACACTTTTAGTGCCTGTTTGAACCCCATTTTTCTCTTCTCAAAATGCATTTTGAAATAGTATTTTTGTGGAGAATATGGAAAAATTTTAGATTTGCATGTAATATTATTTTATTGAATAATGTGTAGTTGAAAATAAGAAATAGAAAAATGTATTTTTTAAATCTTTTACTATTGCCTTTTATTTTACTCTTTCGGATAAGCGAGTGGATTTTGAGAGCAGTAATGGAGAAATTTAAGGTGTATTTGGTTTAATGCTGTAATTCGTTTTCAATTTTTAGTTTGATAAAATACGTTTGATCTTGTCTTTTTGAAAATATATTTTAAAATAGGTTAAAGTTATATTATAAAACTCAAAACATTTTTCGACATTTTCAATGTTTTTAGTGAGAACATAAAAAACACTCAAAATACTGGAAATAAAATCTTTAATAAAATTTTATTTAAATAAAAAATCTGAAAATTTAAAATTAAAAAAAATTAAATTATAAAATTCTTAAAAGAATAAAAAATCTTATTCATTATTCAGATCAAATTAAAAAAATTATTTAAATGAAAACAAATAAAAACTCTCAATTTATATCATTAATTTTTATTTTTTATTTCTTATGTTTTATCGACTCAATTTATTATTTATTTGTATTTTACTTTTGTTGAAGAAAAAACATTGTGAGATTCATCAATTTTGAAATGTGTACATTACTTGATAATATATTACCATAGAATTATTCTATTTTACTGAATAATCAAATTAATAGAATAAAATGTCATTAAATAATTTCTCAAAATTTCAAACTAAAACTATTTTTCAATTTTTTTAATTTTGAGGAACAATTTTTCAAATTGACAAATCATACTTACTTTCAATCATCTTTAAGTCTATGTTTGATAGGCATTTTTGTGGAGAGAATGCATTTTTTTGGTTGATTGGATGAAGAATACGTGGTTAAAAAAGAAAGAAAAGTTATTGATGTGATGAAAAATATTATTTTATTGAAAAATATGTGATTGAAAATGAGTAGAAAAATGAGAATGAAAAATATAATGTAGCTCAAACATTGGCTAAAAAAAAATTGAAAATGAACTATTGAAAAATGAAATATAAATGAAACAGGCACGTTTCCTAAAACTAGGGCTCGTGGGTACCAACCCGTCCTTCGCCCTGCACTTGCATTCTCCTCTGCCCAGCATAGAAAATGAAGCTGCTCTAATCTCACGTACATATTCACCCACAAAAGAAATCAAGCAGAAAAATTATGGCATTATTCTCTAATAAAGCCTGTACTTTGTACATCAAGCAACACCGTATAATCAATCAAACAAAGCATCTTTGTGTTTCCATAAAATTTGACCAAATTTCTGCAGAAAATGAAGCCACAGTTGCAGAAATCACTATGATTCTGAAGCACAGCAATTGGAAATATTTGTTGGAATCCTCACGTATTCCACAAAGAATCAACAATGATGTGATGCATTCAGTGCTGCAAAGAGCTGATTTTTCGATTCATCCGAAGCGCCTCCTTGACTTCTTCGACTGGTCAACTAATCATCTGGGTATCTTTCAAGATCTTCGTTCTTTTTCAATTCTCGCGTTAGTTTTATGCAGTTCTAAAATTTATTCACCTGTCATTGATTTGTTAAGCAAATTGGTGGATTCCAGGGTTTCGGTTTTTGATATTCGTAGCTCAATTTTGAATGTTTATAAGGAATGTGAGAGGTTTAGATCAAGTTCTGTCGTGTTTGAGTTGTTGATCGATGTGTACAGGAAAAGGGGAATGTTGAGTGAGGCTGTTTCTGTGTTTTTAGGTGTTAAAAATACTGACTTTGCAATCAGTTTGTTGTGTTGTAATTCTTTGCTGAAGGATTTGTTGAGGTGTAATAGAATGGAGTTGCTCTGGGAAGTTTACGGAGGAATGATGGAGAAAAAAATGGATTTCGATATATACACTTATGCTAGTTTGATCAGTGCTTATTTCAAGGTTGGCAATGTCAGTGAGGCTAAAAGGATTCTATTTGAGATGGGAGAGAAGGGTTGTAGTCCGAACACAGCTACTTATAATGTTGTCATTAGAGGGTTGTGTGGCAGAGGAGCTGTTGATGAAGCTTTGGGGTTGAAGAAGACAATGCTTGAGATGGGATTGGCTCCAGATAGCTACACTTATTCAATACTTATTGATGGGTTTTGCAAAGAGAAGAGGTCCAAGGAGGCGAAATTGATTTTGGAAGAGATGTATAAAATTGGTCAAAATCCTGACCATGTTGCCTATACTGCATTGATTGATGGGTTCATGAAAGAGGGGAATGTAGATGAGGCTTTCCGAATCAAGAATACAATGGCTGCATATGGAATTAAGTTAAATGTGGTGACGTTTAACACTATCATAAAATGGCTATGCAAATTTGGTCAGATGGAGAAGGCAGTAGATCTCATGCACGAGATGCTCAAATTGGGAATGCATCCTGAAAACAAGACATTCAATTATTTGATTGAGGGGTATAGTCGAGAGAGTAACATGGATAAGGTTAGTGAACTCTTGGTTGAGATGAAAGAAAGAAACTTGGCACCTTCTGCATATACCTTCGGTGCTATAATCAACGAGTTAAGCCGCTCAGGAGATCACGAACAGGCTAATCTTTTGTTGGAGAAAATGATCCCAGAAGGTATCAAACCTAATGCTGTTATTTACACAACCATCATAAAAGGTTATGTGCAGGATGGTAAATTTGAAGAGTCAATAAAAATTTTGGAGGATATGTGGCAAAAAGGAATTTTGCCAGATGTTTTCTGCTATAATTCAATAATAATTGGCCTTTGCAAATCAAAAAGGATGGAAGAAGCTAGAAATTGTCTTATTGAAATGGGGAAGAGGGGATTAGCTCCGAATGCCTACACCTTCGGAGCGTTGATTTCTGGATATAGTGAGGCCGGGGAAATGCACGTTGCGGAAAGATATTTCATGGAGATGCTTGATCGTGGAATAAATCTAAACCTTTACATTTATACATCCATGATTTATGGCCACTGCAAACATGGGAACATAACGCAGGCCTTTTATGTATTCAGATGCATGCTTGAACGAAAGCTGCTTCCAGATGTGCAGCTTTACAGTACACTTATAAGTGGCCTCTCAAAGAATGGAAAATTGCTAGAAGCAATGCAAGTTTTCTCTGACTTGTGTGATAAGGGGATAGTACCCGATGTTTATACTTATACTTCACTAATTTCTGGTTTCTCTAAGCAATGTAATATGCTAGAGGCTTTCAGGCTTCATGATGAAATGTGCCAGAAGGGTATTAATCCTAACATTGTCACTTATAATGCCTTAATAGGTGGACTGTTGAAATCTGGTGAGATAGAGAGAGCTAAAGAACTGTTTGGTGGACTATCCAAGAAAGGTTTGACACCTAATGAGGTGACATATGCTACAATAATAGATGGATACTGCAAGTCTGGAAATCTTGACGAAGCATTCTGTTTATTGGAAGAAATGACATTGCAAGGGGTTCCACCAGATGGTTTTGTTTACAATGCTCTTGTCGATGGGTGTTGCAAGCTAGGAAACATGGAGAAGGCGTTGTCGATATTTCAAGAAATGGTGAAGGAGGGCACTGCATCTGTACTTACTTTCAATACTTTGATTGATGGGTTCTGTAAGTCGGGAAGATTGACTGAAGCAGTAGAGTTGTTAAAAGACATGTTTGATAAACAAATCATGCCTAATCATGTAACCTTCACAATTCTAATTGATAATTGTTGCAAGATGGGCATGATGAAAGAAGCTGTAGAGTTTTTTCAAGAGATGCAAAGGAGGAATCTCACGCCAACAAATGTGACTTACTCATCCCTTTTACATGGTTATGACAAAATAGAGGACAGGTCCAAGATGTTTGCCCTTTTTGATGACTTAGTGGCAAAGGGTATTGAACTTGATGAAGTAGTGTACACATTAATAGTTGATGCACTCTTCAAGGAAGGAAATTTGGAGAAAGCCTTTAAGGTTTGGGATGAACTTTTGGACAAGGGTATATTAAAAAGAAAGGTAAACAAAATACTGATAGGGACCTGGTGTGGAAATGCCGAAATTTCAGAGATTTTGGCATTACTCAATAAAGTGAGAGAGCAAGGATATAAACCTAGCCTTGCTACATGCAGTACCTTGGTCCATGGTTTGAAACAGTCAGGATATGCAGAAAAACTAACCAAAGTTCTAGATATTATGGTGAAGTTTGGCTGGGTACCAAAATTGATGAGTTTAGATGAATTGATAAGTAAATATTCAGAGAAGAGTATTGACTTCTCTGAGCAAGCAGCTGCAGAAGTTGCGTGTCAGGTGCAAGCCTGACTCGAAAAGAGTGGCAATGACAACTTGTTTGTGATGCTTCCTTCAGTGGCTTTATGAACCAACTGTCAAACCAAGGTGACCCGGCTTCTTGCTTCAGGATCTCTTTCCGACGGTGAAATGCTACATCTTGGGTAAGGTTTTTGACTATAATTAACTCTATTCTATGAGGAACTGTAACATGATCTTTTCCATTTTCTGCTTCTTTTTGTTGGTTTCCCTGTTCTTTTTTCTTCCCCTTGCCCCGGGGCTGGATTGAGGGTTGCTCAACTTTGGCAAGGTTACAATTGTAGTTTTCTTTCTTGTTCTGGATCTCCCTTGTATGTTCTGTTAATTTGGCTGATAATTACTCTCCTGATCAGACTTCTTGGGTGTACTTGAAAGTAGATCCTTCAAAAAATTTCAGTGTAATATCCAAATAGTCGGCAAAACCCACTATTTATGTTCCCCCCATGATATTTCCATTGCGATGTTAACATCTTATATTGTTGCTTTTTTACCTTAGTATTTGATTTATTTGATTAATTCCTAGATTTTTGACATTATGGTGATTTTCTAATTGTATTTATGACTTCTCATGGTTTGTCACCCTTGATTAGTTGTTCGATTTATATGATTCTGTTTCTTACTATATAGTCGAGCTCAACTTCAGGTTTCCTGGTACAAAATCGCGATTACCTCATGATTTGTGAGCTTTTGAGAATCACAACATGGTATGTTATACTTGGTATGACTTCTCTTCTAATCCAGATTGCAATCTGTTGAAATGTTCTGTGTTTTTGAGTGACTTCTGGTCGAGATCAAATCTTATATTTGGTTATCTTAATCTTACCTTTGAACTACAATCAGATCTCTTATAGTTGTAAATTCACTGGAATTATTTTTATTTGTAGGTTTTATTTTGATTGCAGGAAGAATAATGTTATATAACTGCCATGAGCATATCTCGCCAATGCAGTTAGCATCCGGTTTCCGAGAAGAACTGGGAAGAGGAATCACCTCTTATTCACTGTGGAAAATGTGATGTGGCTGTACATCATAGAAGGCCTGTCTCGACTGTCTGATTGCTTTTTATCATTGAAGTTGGCAAATGGCTTTCGCTTATTTATGTTGATGCTATGTGATTAGATCCTTGTGGTACATTCTTTTACAAGAAAACAAGATACATGACCCTCTTGTATATTTACATTACTGCAATTTTCCTTCTCTAGTGGATTAGCAAACTACAAATTGTTGTTTTTCCCATTTTCTTGTTCCTGATAAGAACTGATACTATTATGATTAGGCAAACTGCTCATGGATAGGCAAAACTGCAGCACACCTTATGTTTTGGAATGTATATGATGATGGAACACTTTAAGCAAAGGGGTAAAATGCTTGGATTTGGGCTATATATCAGTTCTTTTAGCTCCGTAATTAGTAGAAACATTATTGACGTGTTCGATATGATGGACTAGACACTCTTCTATATGATTAAAGAAGAAAAAGAAATTTAAATTTTATGCACTCTACCATGTAGTGCTGTCAAATAGTATGTACCAAACTGATGTCGCAACAAGTCTCATGACCAAGAGTCTCACGTTCACATTTACACAAGGTTCGTAACTTAAGCAGATCATCAAAGAGTCACGACTTCAACTTAAAACCTACAATTAATCAATACAAATTTATAAAGTGTCTATTTAACGGAATTTGTTATTTTAACGGATTATGTAACGGAATTTCTTGTTTTAAACAGACAGTTGCACCTTCTTTCAGTGTTTTTATCATAACTTTGTATTCCAATGTTAGGTTGAGGCGATTCAAAATGCATTGGAAAGCTAACCCATCTGTCTACAACTTTAATTCAGACATCATTCTCCA